AGATGGTGAGGGCCCCCCCCCCCAACTCGTATGCCTATACAAGGTCAACTTCAAATTCAACAGAGCATTTCAAGTCCATCCTGGAATGTCAGTCCAAATCCTGAAATTCCAAACGCTTATGGATACATTTATTATCCAGAAAACAAGTGGCCGAGCATGTTGCCACCTCGCTGCAGATAAGCGTGGTTATAAAAAAAAAAAAAAAAAAGTCACCTTACATGTCACGTGCGTGTCAAGGCCGCCGTGCTCGGCGGGTGATGAATGTGAGCGTTGGGAGGCCGCAGGCGCGCGTTTTTTCACACAGCAAGAGGGGCGAAAAAGACATTTATAGCAACAGGAAGCATGACGGGTCGGAATTTGTCTAAAGTGACAATCCTCCAATCTTAGCGCGGTCGCATTCATGGGGTGAAAAGCCAAAAAGGGCAGAAGCGCTCGGCCTGCAATTCGCATTGAAAGTTGCCGAATATGGCTTCAAAGTGCAGATCAGCTGCAGACTGCGCACCGAAGTCCATCGCCTAAGACGGAAAATATGGCGGGGGGGGAAAAAAAAAAAAGAGGGTTAACGTGTGTATGGAGGGAACCGGTAGAGCACAAGCACCTTATTGCACTCAAGTCACATGACACCAAACGCAAATCGGACGCAAGCCAGTTCCACTACATGGTGAGGATAATGATGGGAATATTCGGAAGAGAAGACGTCATTCAAAAGAGAAAGAGAGAGGGAAAAAAAAAAAAAACAGCGCTACGCACACATTCAAGAGGCCGCGAAAAGGAAGAACGTCGTTACTAGCCCGGGGAAAAACGTCACTAAATATTTAAGAAAGGATACAAATAGGACAAGGCTCAGACGGAATAATCCACTGACAGGAATCTTTATCTTTTCCAAACAATGGACAAACTGCTGAGATGTCAAACTTAAACCATCTCAAGGACTCGTTTTTACTGGTGTTATGCATCGAAGTGTGGGGCAATTTGGGATTTTGATGCTATGGGACCTTCATGTTGACAAAATATTGCCTAAAACAAGCGCAAAGTGTGACTGACTGACACTCAGAGAGGCACTTCAACAAGGGAGGGGCGTGAACTCAGAGAGTAGGCAAGAATGCAGAGTGGTAAGTGCAAGGCGGAATTAATTCCCCACATATGACGGATGCCATAATTGGATTACGCAATCCGCAGCTATCCTTAAATTGGCATCTTTGGGTGACCTCGCAGGTGACAAACAAATGATTATCTTAGTAACCGATTCATCTGTTGATTATTTTGTGAATGAACATGATCAAATTGATCTGGATGCAAATTGTCACTTCGCTTTTGTGGATTTCGCAGGTTCGCTCGGAACGAAAACACGAACCCTCCTCCCTGCCCCTGCTAAGTCGCGATGTGGAACATGAGCTGCACCCTCTCTCGCCTCCCATGTGGGCACTCTATATTTTATGATGGGTGCCGGTTACATCTCCTGCGCCGCACTGGAAAAAGTGCGAGGCTGCCAAATGAAGGCTGAACACACAACACACGCGCGCACCTGCCCACTTAAGATGTGCAAGGCTAAACCAGATGGCCAATGAAAATCCAATGGCGGGATGCAACAGCGGCGGCGCCCCCACAGGGTCCAGACTTTCCGTTCGCCCCGCTAAGTGGACAGGATCAGACCCGCATCCTCTCCGGCTGGAGACTCGCTGTCCTGCCCGTCACATTTTTAAATTGACAAAAAAAAAAAAGGAGGATTTTGGCTCGCCTCCTCCTGCGTTCACACTTTTAACATCTGCAGCTGTGACACAAGACAGCGGGTGATGTAACTGTAATGCAGCAAGTGATGTAACCAGCTTTGCGGGGCGGTGGGCTCGCTCCGCCGAGCATCCGAGGTGACCCGACGACTGGCCGATAACGGATGCAAACTAAGAAGTGACCCTTACTCAAAATCCATCCCTAAGTGTATCCATGGCAACCGATATATGTTGCCAATCTCACAGCCGGCACAGCACAGACTCTTGAGATGGATTTTTTTTTTTTTTTTTTTTGGTCTCATCTCCCATCTGTCAGCGAGGCATCAACACACCTAAGTTGTCACATTCTTTAACAAAAGCATTCAGGAGCACTAAGAAAGGCCTGTCCATCCTGTCAACTTTTGACCTCGTCTACAAAAAAATGCGCCCTGAAGGCTGCTAGTAATAGTCACGTTTGATGTGTCAGAAAGATTACTAACTTCAATTCCTTTGAGTCCGGAGTTTACACAAATATTTGGAAGGCCAATATTCGCTTCTATTTTAGCCCTGCATGAGAAACGCACACAAGAGGAAAGCATTCATTAGGTTTGGCAAAGTTCCACCATGTTTGTCGGGACAACCTGATCGGTTTAATTAAGGTGCAAGTGGAAAAATACAGATGTAAACAACGGCGCCCTTTTTGCAGTTTTAAAGCGTTGGGATGCTCAAAAATCTTCATGAGCAACGCAAATCCAACGTGTTCTGATCATTTATCCGTTTGCTAAGCGTTTTTTGCAGTTTTAAAGCGTTGGGATGCTCAAAAATCATGAGCAACGCAAATCCAACGTGTTCTTATCCTTTATCCGTTTGCTAAGCGTAAACGTTTAGTGACACTTGGCAAGCTAACGCATCTGCGAAATGTGACGCTAGCTCGGAAGCTAACTAGCCAGACAGCTATGCTACCGGCGGCCACAAAGAGCCCCCCTAACCCCCCTCAACCCCAGACATGCAGCTGACGGCGGTTGCAGCGTCTTACCTCGCGGACGGTCAGGGCTGCTCCCGGGGAAGCCGCTCCGCAGCTCAAAAGAAAAGCTTCACGGGGCGCGGCGGAGCTAGCCAGCCTGGTTCATGGCGTTCTCATGCTCGGGGTCTGTTCACAGATCGGGTTTGTAAACGTTGAGCTCCTCCGCAGCTGAGTGATTGGCAATGCAAAAAAAAAAAATACAAGTTCACTTCACTCGTCCAGGTCGTAAAGCCCTGCTCAAAGACGCCTCCACATTTTCAGCAGTCTTCGGTTGGCTTCGAAGGCACCAGTAACGTCATAATACTTGGAAAGACTGCGATTCACCGTGCAGAATAACGTCTATGTTTTTATTAAACCGCTTTAAAACTCATAAAACGGTCAGAAGAAAGAGCATTGTCTACCTCTGGTGGACATTCTTATTCGCTGCAGATGGAAAATTGCCTTGCGTCACGAGTCCACAGTGTACGGCTCAACCTGTTGCGTGACGCAAGAAATCGACAGCCAATCCGAATCATGAGTAGGCGTGGCAAACACTGAGAACGGGTCCACTTTCTCCCATCTTCCAACGCTCGTCAGTGTAAACCTCCAGCATAATAAATATTTGAATATGGAAATATTCCAACTGTAATGATGTAGGCCATACGGTAAATTGGAGAGGCCGGTCTGGTCACCGATGTAGGAACACGCTGACGTGAGTACGACACATAGTCCGTGGTTAGCTTACCGCTAGTGTGCTAACAAAGCTACTTATGCTATCTGACGTGCTAACGACGTCAAGTAAATTTAAATTGTTACTTTGTTGACACGTGCATGAATGCATTCCGTTTATTGACGATTCATCTGTGAATGAAATCCCCTGACAATGCTAACAGGGCCCCGTTTTCAATCGCTCATGCGGGTGGTTACGTTATTTTCGATGAATGCACCTGACAGTGACAATGTCAAAATATTCCATCCTAGCCTGTCGCTCTCCTGCCGTGCGTCAAGATGTCCCTGGCGCAGAGGGTCTTACTGACGTGGGTCTTCACCTTGGTCTTCCTCATCATGCTCGTACTCAAACTGGATGGGAAGGTATGAGGACATATTGCTGCAGAAATTTTGAACAGATCAAATAACACGTTTCCAATGTGTAGGTGCAGTGGAACTGGTTCCTCATCTTCCTGCCCGTGTGGGTCTTTGATGGCATCCTGCTCCTCATGCTCACCATCAAGATGGCCGGTCGCTGCAAGCCGGGTTTCGACCCGCGGAACGGCTCGCCGGATCTGCGTCTGCGCGCCTGGTACCTGGTGGCCATGCTGCTCAAGCTGGCCTTCTGCCTGACGCTGTGCGCCAAGCTGGAGAAGCTGGCAGAGGTGAAGCTCACGTTGGTGTGCATCCCGCTGTGGGCCATGCTGCTGGGAGCGCTGGTGGAGCTGGGCCTTAATATCTTTCCTGAGAGGAGAGAGGCCTGACAGAGATGATGGAACAAAAACTTGGGATGAGTAAAAGTCTGACTGATTGTAATTCCTGCAAGACTACTGTGAACAATACACTGGAATTATTTTATGTGTTGCCAATATGTTGAGTCCTGCTCCTTCCTGATTTGCGACTGTGCATGGCGCACAGTTCAAAAGCTCAATTATTTTTGTGTTCAAAGTCAAGTACTATATTGAGTAGCTGTTGAAGCGTTGGCTCAAACCAGCAAAATGTGACATGCTGGTTCGAAATGACCCTGAATGGATGCTACATATTATGTCTCCAAATTGCGTTATTTTGCACAGTGCCGATGTTTTCTGATTATAAGGAGTCTCATGGGAATAAATGCTTCTGCACTGAAAATGTGTTATCACTACTACTTCACAGCAATACACATTAAAAAAAAAAATAATCTCGCTCGATTGTGAAAGTGCACTTGATGTGTCGGTGTAGCTTGTAGCTACTTGAGTGTATTATGTTGCACATAAAATGGCGCTATGCCGTTATGACTCAAGTGTTAATGTTGTGTGGCTTTCAGAGAACCCAACGCATGGAAGTAAAAGCATTCGAGGCTCACTTTCACAAAGCGTAGACACTTCAACGCTCGTCGGCAAAAGACGAAACAAACAATATGCTAAAAACATCACAAATGACCTAAAAAAATGTGACTTGTTCTAAGAAGGAGCAGTAACAATTTTATCCAGTAAGCCGTTTATTAGCTCGGCTCTTATTTAAAAGTAGAAACCTTTCTACGCGTTTTGTCTTTACAAAACCTCTTATGTACATGACCACGCTGACAGTTGAAAAGAAAATGGCTGAAATCAAATAGAAAAAACACACACTTGAGATAAATAAATCCTGAAGAAACAAGTCCCTGAAGACTTTCTACTGTCAACGCTAGTTTGTACAAAAAAATATAAAGATCACATCAGGTTTTCCCAATTTCTGTTTCGACCACACCTGAACCCCCGAGGCGTTAAAACATCAAAAATAAGAGCTGCTTCACGTTGACCTCCACCTCTCAAGGGAAGCCTTCCGAGGGGCGAAAGAAAACAAGTGAGGCATTAGCTTCCATTTTGGACATATTTGCCACTGGCTTGCGGGAAGACTTGCCAAGCAGCTGACTATTTTTTTAAGGCTTTGGTCAAATTTTTCAGTTGGGGTGGCGGGGGATAAGTCAAAGCGTGAAACTTTTAACACAACAAAGTCTCTGTGTGAACATTCCGTAGTTAACAGTTGCGGACAGGCACTGGGGAATGTCGTGGGCTACATTAGCAAGTGGGCAGGAAGAGACGAGAAACATTCCATGACCGTGCGACAAACACACACGCACACAGGAGACAGATTGTTTCAAAAAAATTCGGAAGCAGAATGTCCGTCGTCACTAAGCATCGCCTGTAGCCAACATTCATGATGAGCTTCAAAACAAGTCGTGGTGTGTACAAAAGTCTTGGAAGAACACTTAGCGCCCTGTGGAACACCAGCAATGACCGTTACGTTACATCCACTGATATGCTGAATCTGTGCAATATTGAAAAATGACTGGGGCACTGTGGGCTGTATGCAGCCCAATTACAATTGAGGATTGTTGTTGCGAATTGTGGTTTGAATGGCAGCTGCATCATTATTTGAACTCTTTTTGCAATGCTTTTAAAAGTCCTATCTGGGTTATTTTAAAAATTCCGGTGCAGCATTGCCTATAAAATCCTGGGCAGCTGTGGATTTTGTGCGGCCTGGGTAACATTTACCCAAGGTTGGGTTCATAATTTTGATCCTGCAGGTTGGGTTGAAGATTGGATTTTGGACACACAGTTGTGTACTAAAGGTCAGTAATTTTTTTTTTCTACCAAGTCGTTGGATCAAAATCTTGACCAAATGTGCTGGATCAAATCCCCGCCTCAACGTGGTGGGGATAAAGAACCCAGCCTTGGCTCGGACCCTTTTGGAATCCAGCACTGGGTTAGCAATTGCACCCAATTTGGGTCACTTTGAAGAGTGCATGATGACAACTACAAATAATTTCTCATCAGGCTACTCGCTAATGAGTCCGAGCCAGCAGGCAGTTGTGATGTCACTCCGGTAAGACAACATGGCAACAGCTGAATCTGTAGGCAACACTCGATGTAAAAATAGTTACGTCTCAGGAGGAGGCGTTCTCGTATGACATAATATTGTCACCACGACAAGTATTGTGTAACATGCCGGTTGTTTCCTAAACAGTCGCGTTAGCTGCGGGTTGTACGGTGAAACGTTCTCCTTCAAAAATGAGACTCGACGTACCTGTTTTCGAACACTTTTCTTAACACACTGGGACTTCCAAAATAGCAAACTGGTGCTGTACAGGAAAGTCCAATCTAAAACTGACGTAAAAAAGGTCATTTGACAAGACAACCAAAAGGAAACCTGTACATTTTCATCCAATCCTTCGATACCAAACCCTACAAACTCTGCTCGTCCTCGTGATTCGGGGGTAGTGGGGGTAGAGGGGGCGGTGGCGGGGGAGGCGGAGACTCCG